CTCTCTCTCTGTCCCCTGCCTCTCTCCCCTTTCCTCTCCTCCCTCCTCTCCCCTCCCATCTCTCCTTGCCTCCCTCCTTCCCTCCCTTCCTCCCTTCCTTCCTAGAGATCTCATAAAGCTAGAGTGGGAATAGTTTTTGTACAGAAATTATGTATGATTCTCTCCCCCTTCCAACCCGGCTAACTCCACATCTTGATATGAACACAAGACTCTGTATCAGAACCCAAAACTAACTGATAATCTCACCACGTCCCCCACCCAGTGCTGAGGCTGCAGTCTGTGAGCAGAAAGGAGTGGGTGTCGGTGTGGGTAGGGTCCCCTGTGATGCTAAGCCCTTTAAATGCAAGTGCTCTGAACTTCCTGTCTGGGAGTCATTTCAGTAGAACCTCTTTTTACTCTCAGAGGTACTCCAGGTTGGACAATAAATCATATGGTCTCCTACCTATTGGTTTTTAAGAAGTCCATGTATGACACTAACTTCTCTTCATTTTTAAGTTTTTGAAAATCATCTAGTCTTCTGAAAAGGGGTTTCTATTACCTGAGGACAGCTGTGGTACTTGAGAATGAAGGGGCCAGTGAAGTGGTTAGGAAAGCATAGTTTTGTCACGAGATCGGGGTAGGCCAGGGCACCTACTGCAGGAGCAGGCGAGTGTTTCATCTCGGCCTTCCTCTGGCTGGTGAGCCAGCCTTGGCCAGAAGTGCCAGGATGTAGCCACAGGAGTGTCTTCGGGATGCCCGGATGTACAGAAGCTGGGCCCTGAGAGTAAAGAAGTGAGCCTCGCTGTTTGCCCCGCCTGTCCTGCTAGAAGCCAGCGGTGCCAAAGATGAATTTTCTTTCTCTTTCAACCCTGTTGTGCTAGGGATTATTTTTTCATTCTGTTTTGTTATTATTTTTTTTTCTTTTTTATTTCCTTCTATAAGTGAGAGGATGTCAGGGTTGAGTCCCCTCACCTAGGGCTCAGAGCCCAAGCTCTCCTCCGGCCCAAGATAGCCACACACTGAACATTGCATGCTGGGAGCCCACCTGGGAGCCCTCCTCCCTGGCCTGGGTGACCACCCCTCTTCTGCATGGCCCACTGCAGACTGCCACCAGCTCTGTCCCAAACACATCAGCAGCGTACTGGTTTTTCTTAAAGACTCAGGTCACATCATGCCGCCTCTCTTCCTCAGACTTCTTGATGGCGTCCCACCTCCTGAACGTAGAAATCAACACAGGGCCCAACCTGGTGCACCCTGCCCACCCTCCTCACACCCCACCTCTCCCCTTGCTCACTATGCACCAGCTGCCTGCCTGACGGATTCCCTCCATTCCCTTCTTCCTTCCCTCAGGTCCTTGCGCAAGGCTGCTTTCTGCCTGGCCTGTCCCTGCGCCCCTGCTTTGCTTGATCTGTCCCCACAGAGTCTACTCCACCAGAGAAATTGCCCGTGTTACCTGTTTCCTCCCCCACTAGAAGATCACCTGCACACAGGCAATAATTTTTTTGGAATTTTTAAGTGCATATTAAGGTGTTTGGTGTGATAGTTCCATATGTGTGTACAGTGTGCACTGATCCTACCCAACCCTGTTCTTCCACCTTTGCCCCTTTTTGATTCTTGGCAGTCACTGCTCTACTCTCAGCTCAGCTTATGTTACTTTTTATCTATGTGAGAGAACATGTGATACTTGTCTTTCTGCATCTCATCTCCCTTAACATCTCATCCTGCAGCTCCATCCACTCTGCTGCAGATGACAGGGTTTCATTCTTTGTTTTGGCTGAATAGTACTCCATTGTGAACATAGACTGTGTTTTCTTTGTCCACCATCTGTGGGTGGGCACCTAAGCCGACTCCCATCTCAAACGACTGTCATGAATAGAGCTATAGTCAGCGTGGACGTGCAGGGCCTTTTAGATGCCGACACCACTTGCTCTGGTTGTGTATGCAGGGGTCAGGGAGCTGGGCTCTCAGCTGCTGCGGGCTCAGGTGCATGGACCGCACTTTGAGTAGCAAGGAGGGGCTCTTCCTTCCCCACCTTAATAGCCAGGCCTCTTAGAGAAATGGCAGAGCAATCTCCTCTCCGTAGTTTCTCTTTCCACACTCCTCCCCAAGATCCTAAAGCAAAGGATGTTTTTGCCATTGTTTTCTTTCCTCAGTGTTTTCTGAAACCCCAGCACCAACTTCACACACACACTCACACACTCTCTCTCTCTCTCTCTCTCTCTCTCTCTCACACACACACACACACACACACACACACACACACACACACTCATTACCTGGCCTCCACTGCCTCATCAGAACTCCCATCACTGGCCTTCACTGCAGAAGTGATCGGAGGGGAAAGAATCTCCCGGCACATTTTGCAGGCCCTCACTGTCTGGTGGCGACAATCCCCAGGAGCAGGAAGCGAGGCGCACGTTGCTGCAGGGGGTGATGTCATGTCCAGGTTTCCCGCTCATGTGGCCGTCAGCCTCCACAGGCCTGTGGGCTGGTGGCATATCCGAAGAGAGGCCTCCCACTGAGTGTTCTTCCTATCTGTGTCCTCTGCACACTCGCAAGCACATTCACACACACCACATGCACACCTCTTACCCAGCGAATACTACCTTCCCACCTTTCTTACCAAAGGGCTCTTTTCACACCATGGCCCACAGGGCAGACAGCAGTATTTATCAAGCAGAGTAGACAGCCGAGCCTGCCACCAGCGCTCCATGCGTCAGCACCCCAGCACCCCCAGAGGTCCAGAAGCATCTGTGCCTCCTCACATCTGCAGCCCATTCCCAGCCCACCAGAGTGTCACACTGCCTGTGAAGCCTCCTCCCCTCTGCACTGTCCCCCCTCTAGCATGTGTAGCCTGGCGTATTTTCCTCTGTCAGCGGCACCTTCTTCCTGCCCTTTTCTTCCCCACATTTTCCGTTTAGCCCCCCACAGCCAGTTTTCTGTCCCCTGTCCTCTGCAGGAATAGGAATAGGACCTGTACAATCTGATTTGCAGAAACAGTGCCAAAAAGGTTAAAAAAAAATTCACTTGAGTGTAACAAACTGAGATTTGCTCTGAGCAGGGCATGCGCCCCAGCAGTTGCTTCTCCCTGTCCCTTGAGAGGCCTGCTCAGGGCTGTCTTCTTCCAGCATCCCTGTGCTTCCTGCATGTGGGCCTTTCTGTGATGGGGAGACAGAGGAAAGGGGTGGGGCTGTTGGGCCTGTGTGGGTCTAGGAGAGCACTTTCTCATTCTAAGGTTCTAGAAATAGGCAATGGGGGACCTTAGAGGTGAAATGACTTGGATGTTTCCTTTAGGAACTCAGCACCAAGAGATTTGGGCACCAAATGAGAAATGTGCAGCTTCCATTTTGAGCTAATTGCTAGAGAAAACTTAAAGCAATTTTGTTCACCCTGAGACTGAGTCTGAAAATATCACTCTTGATTTATTTCCCCTTTTTCTCCTTTGAGCAACCTTCCTGTCCCTCCCACTAAGCTGTAACTCAGCTCTTTTCAGCTCAGATACCTTCAGGGTCTCCTTCTTTCTTCTCATGGGTCGTCCATTTTAAAGCCCACTTCTTCCATATGATTCCTGGACCAACCAGCTCTGCCCGCTCCCATTTTTGAGTTCCTTTAGCAAATACTGTCCTTATTTAGTACTTGTTATGGCTTGTATCTAAATGTCCCCCCTAAAGCTTTAATCATAGTGGGGCTTTTCAGAGGTTATTGGATCTAGTATATATGAATGTGGATTAAGAGTATGATATTGATATTAAGGATATGGTACTAGATTAGGCCATTAATTGGTTTATCAAAGTTCTGAGTGTGGGTAATGGGAAGGCCCACCCTTGTGTGTGGTTGACACACCCAAAAAGCTTTTAGCCTAGGTGAGATAAAAGGGAGAGTGAAGCTTGCTGCTTGCTGCTTCCTGCCTGCTCTTCTATGGACTGTTTTCCCTCTGCCATGCTACCCTGCCTTGGAGCCAGCCAACTATGGAACATCTGCCTTTCCTTCTTTAACTTGTGGCTATCAGGTATTGTGTCTCAGAAATGAGAACAGTAACTAAGACAGTATTAATACTGTGTTATTTACTGTGCTTTAAAGTTGTTTCTGTTGCCTCCATAATAAGTTGAAAGCCCCATAAGGAAAGAAGTCTAGGGGTGTGTTGTATACTCCACAGTGCCCAGAGTTTTCACTGTGTGTGTGTGTGTGTGTGTGTGTGTGTGTGTGTATGTGTTTGTGTGTTACAGACCACTTGAAATCTGCTAAAGACTAAAGATACTCTCCTCTGGAAAATGCACCTACACTGAAATTCTATGTAAGAATTCGGGGAGGGGTTGCAGCTGCCTTGGTGGCTGCAGTTTAGTAACACCGGGCAAAGTAAGCAGTACTATTGGCTGAACAAAGAGTAGGTGCTCAATGACTCCATGCTGAGGTGTGTCTCTCGCTGTTTTCTCTGGACAGATTGCCTTGACGTTCTCGATCGTCTTTGGGGTCATTGTGTATCGGATCACAACTGCAGCTGCTCTGTCTCTTAACAAGGCCACACGCTCTAATGTCCGGGTGACAGTCACAGCAACAGCGGTCATCATCAACCTCGTAGTCATCCTCATCCTGGACGAGATCTACGGGGCTGTGGCCAAGTGGCTCACCAAGATAGGTACTGTGGCACAGTCCTGTCTTTGTTCTGGGGCTCCGTGAGTGTGTGTAAGGTGCTTGGTGGTATGACCCTAGATGAAGAAATGATGGGAATGGGATGGTTTGTACAGTGCATTATAGTTGAAAGAGTGAGAAAGTACAAGGCAAGCTAAAAGGTAAAGGCAGTCTTCCCTGTAATGTAGTCAATTGTCTTTTGGTCTGTGTTGATTGCCTCATGTGACAGGGAGCTCACTGTCCCTAAGGATAACCCATGGGTTCTGTTCATTTTAGCCTCACTTAGAAGAAAGGCAGATTCAACATTTCCTGCTAGAAATGACTGAGTTTGGGCTCTCCTCATTTTCCCAGCAGCATTTACAAAGTGGAGGAAAGCCTCTTGATACTTGAGCCCAAGAGGGTCTTATCTGTCCCAGAAAATCCCCACATTCCCCAGGCACTGAGTGGACTTCAAAGAGATGTGTCAGACTCCCCAGCTCAAGCCAGTGGGAAACCGCAGCGGCCCAGCCTCAGCTGTGTCGTCTGAGCCCAGTCGGCTGTTGTCTGAGCTCTGTGTTCTGGCATCTGCACGTTAGAAGTGGGGGCTGAGAGTGAGGACCTTTCTTCATTGTGCACACTTGGTGGCAAGGGTTCACCCCTTCCTTCTTGATGTCTGGGGTTTCCCTCTTGACTGGAGGAACTAGTGCCCCTGGATGCTTACAACCTCACAGGGAAGCTGATAAAGGTAGATGTCTGCAGTTCACTCACCAGCTGGAAGCTGGACCCTTGGTAGAGTGCCCACCTTCTCAGAGAGCCTTTCCTGGAGGACTGGCACATTCCAGAGGGCTAGGTGGTCAGTGCTTTCCACAGCATGGCCTCTGCTCCAAGACTATACATGGTGGCACCTGTCTTTGAGTTCCCTGGGAGCCAGAGGGGTGGCTCTGATGTCCTCACCCATCTGTATGTTCCTTCCCAGGCACCTTGAGAGCAGTTTCAGTAGTGAACTAAGTGCTGTGCTGGATGGGATTCCAAGGGAGCCCTTAGATGGTGCATCTGACACTGCAGGGGGCTCAGGAGGCTTGGAGGCTGAGACTCCTAACTGGAGAGCTTGGAGATAAGTGGTGGGCATGTGTTTCTGGGGGTAGAGAATGGGCAAAGGAAACAAACTGAGAAATGTGGCACCGAAGGAGGAGATCAGATCTCTGGGGGTCAGGAAAGGCCTACAGGGAAGTAATGGGAGGCCATTAGGTCCACAGGGGCAGGGTGTGTGTGTGTGTGTGTGTGTGTGTGTGTGTGTGTGTCTAAATACTAGCAGAGCAAAGAGCCAATCAGCATATGGGAGAAAGGAAGCATGATGTGTGTCCTGGAGGCACGAGGAGCCCAGCGTGGTAGCTGCCGTGGGGACCTAGGCATGTCCAGGGCATAGTGGGATGGGAAGCAGGCCCAGGGACTTGTCCGACATCTGGCTTTATATTTTGGTGGAAGATCTTATAAGCCAGACTGAGCACTCTGTGTTCATTTTCATAGACCATGGAGTGGTGTTGCTGGAGTTCAGAAGGGCATCTGGCAAACTCTGCCACCCTCCTGGCCTGATCACTGAGCCGAGATAGAAATAAGATGACACAAGTAGACAGAAATCAACATGTCAGCTTTACAGCTGAAAAAGGCCACAGTGGAGGAAGTAGCTTACCAAAGAGCCAAAGTTTCCTAACACCAGCTTCCCTATGATCCCTCTCGCAGTGGCAGGCTGGGGTGCACAGTCCTGCAAGGCTCAGGTCATGCAGGGACTCAGAACACCAGCTTCCTGAAGGACCTGTGCTCTCAAAAGAAGGGCAGAGGCAGCAGGTAGGCAGGGAATGCATGTCACCTTCCAGGGTGATCACAAGTCGGGCTGCTCTCCCTTGTACCATCCAAGAGGAGAAACTCCTGAGACATGGGGGAAGCAGCTAGGACAGCGAGGGTGAGCCTTGCAGAGCTTTCAGTAATAACGCACAGCCCACTGCAGCATGAGTGCAACAGGTTCACTACCAGTGAGCTAGGACATTGCAACTGAGAAGTCATGGAGACCGGGAAAAGATGTCTCCATTCCCCATCTGGTTCCAACCCAACATCACTGAGGATGCTTTGAAGCGCATAACATGTTGGGTAAATGCTTATAGTTATTCAATCAGGGATGCAGGATCCAATGGACTAGGGAGAGGCAGGAAGATCTAACGTAAAGAAGGGTATGGGATAAGAAGCGGAAGTCAGCAATGGTGTGGAAATTTCTTCTTGCTGTCCACTTGTGCTTTTGTTACACAGCTCCAGATGGTGGTAAGGACAGAAGAGAGAGCCATCAATAGCCAGCGACTCATTTACAAGTACTTAGGGAACAATTCCCACGCACAAAGCAGGGCCCTAACTCTTAAGGCCAGGAACTGTGACACTATACCTGCTCGTGTCAGACTCCCTCCTCACCCAGAAAGTTCACGCAACTCCAACTTGCAAGCCAGTTTCTGTTACTTCATAAGAAGATGTTTCCAGAAGGGAGATGGATTTTTAAAAAAGGTCCATTTTATTCTTTGTGATGTAATATGCTTGTAATGTGTTCTTAAACTCCAAAGTTTTTCTCTGATCCCACTTTATCATCACAAAAGCTATGTGTGGCCAGGAAGTATTCGATTATCATTTTACTAAGGCTGAAACTCAGATTTTCCTTCTAAAACACAGACACCCATTGTGCTCCTTTGATGTACATTTCTTCCTGGCTGTATTGATGTGGTCTCTGCTCTGGGGCCCATTGTCCTGGGTTGTTGTTCTTATTGAATCCAGTGGGAAAAGTCTTGAGTTCTAGATATGGCCCCTTCTCTGTCCCATCCTACAATTGTGTGGCACTGAATAGCAGGAAACATTTCTGGACCAAGTTTTGCAGATCCTTCCCTCATCATTTTTCTTCCCCTATCTGTGGATCATGGTTCTGATGGACCCTTTTCATAGCCCAGTGACTACAACTTTGTCCTCAGCCTCTGTCTTGGAAACCTCCATCCACTCTCCCTTTTGCAAACGGTAGGCTGGCAGGCATCAGAGTCCCCTCAGAGAGCTGCCCATCGCTCTGTGTCAGGTATAAACCAGTGGTAAGACTCTCAACCACCTTCTTCCCTCTGTACTCCTCCGCTCCAGCCAGCCCACTGCCAGTCATCAGGGTACCCTGTGTGTTCTGCAGGGCCCTGGTGCCGGCTTCTGCTGAGGAAGTAGATGTGCTGACCCTCAGTGGCCCCTACTGCAGAGGGCCGCTCTCCAGGAACCCTAGTCGGGACACTTGGTCCTCTGTGACTTTCCTTCCCTGTGATCTCTCCGGGCATAGGCACCTCACCCATTTCCTCCTCCGTCATTGTTTACAGAGCACCCACTTTGTGCTACGCACATTTTTTTCTTTTTTTACATGGATTGAACCCATGGTCTTCGTGAGCTACATTGTCATATCTTTCTTATTTTGAGGCAGAGTTTCACTAAGTCACTAAGTTGCCCAGGCTGAGCTTGAACTTTTGATCTTCCTGCCAGAGTGCTGGGATCACAGTTGTGCATCACACACCTGATTGTGCCAAACACAGTTCTGGAACCATAGCAGTAAACAAAAGTCCATTTCCTGTTGTGGTTATGATTATATTACGTAAAGGAAAGGTATCCAGGAAACAAGAATGTTTCCTAGAGGGTGAGAGAGGCGTTATGTGATAGAGAGCAGTTTGAGATGGAGCACACGAAGGGCCTGTCACGGTGGTACAGCTGTGGGTGAGATCCGAAGGGCAGGAGGAATCTTCTACGCAAGCACTTGGAGGGAAAGGTGCAGAGTGACAGCAAAGACAAGGGCTGCAGGTAGGAAGATGCTTGGAGGGTGTTGGTCCTTGAGTGTCAATCGTGCACTGTCTTACACTACTGCTCCTGTTCATGTCAGAACAGACTGGGCTCCGCTGGGGCAGCGCATCCACCCCTTCTTGGTTGCCTGACATGGCTCATGGTTCTCGCTAACACTGCATGTCCCATGTGGATGGGCCGAGCACTCTTCTGATGCAGTTTCTCCAGCACCCAGAGGACTCCGTGTCTGGGAACTGGAGCTGGCAGTCCACAGAGGCTGGCAGATGCCTCCATCTGGAAGTGTCATTGTCCCTCCTGCTCACAGCTCCCTGGCAAGCACCAGCCCAGTCCTGAGAGGGTGGGGACGTGTGTCCATGTGTCCACGTGCGTAGCCGCGCTCCTCTACCGCTTGTTGCAGCCAGGCTGCTGGGCCCTTGAGATCAATGACTCTGCCTTTCACTTTCTTTTCTTTGCACAGTGCCAGCCTCCTGGGAGCTCCCAGCGTGTCTGTGGGTGCCATGTCGGTAAAACACATCCCTGTCTTCATGCATTCAAAAAGATTTTTTTTTTTTTTTGCCCACAGCTAAGTGTCCTGCCTCAGAAGAGGCTTCTGGGAGCCTTCATGTATCCATCCTCTCCCTGCCTGCCTACTCAGTGATTCAAAGAAATACTGAGAGAAGGAAAATGTGGGTGTACCCAAAAGGGTAGTGCCAATGGAGGCCGCCAGGATGTCAGAGGCCTTGAAGTTTCCTTCATGGCGAAGTGCATTCACCTACAAGATGGTCACGCCCACGGGCATGGGCGTGGTCTCAGGCCCACCTGGGGACACAGGCTGTGGGTGAAACCACCTAAAGGAATGAGAAGGCTGCCAGGCTTAGGGGCCGGCTTCACCATTCTCACGCTGGGTTAATACCCATCTGGCTCTCTGCCCCAGATCTCCTGATAGCCGAGGAGGCTGTGCCTCAGTGCACTGGTTGGCAGGTGCACACAGCTGGTGCACAGGGCCCCATTGAGCTTCCCAGTGTTTCCTGCAAGGCTGAGCAGTGAGACTAGTTTTCCAGGCATATCTCTCCACAGGTCCCCAGATCAAGTATCTCTGAGGTCCCTTCATGCCCCAAGTATTTAGGACAAATGACAGAATTTAAGTGCCTTTAGAGGGCTCAGCTCCGCAGTAGTTGATAGAAACAGTAATGGTTC